TGTCTACACTGGATCTCTCCGAATCTGAGGGTGTTGTTTCAGGACGCTGTGACGGTAGGACAATTGGTACACATAACCCCCGAACACAACACTTTGTCCAGACTCACAGTAGGATGGCACTTCGATGGGGGACAGCATGATACCGCTGAATTTCTCCTCAGAGTCTTTCAAAACATTGCAATCACATTCGGCTCCTGGGAAACTCGAGCCTCTGTTCCAGAAGGCATAATCGTGGATGAAGAAGGGACAGCCCCTATTCACATCGACTCTGAGGTTGACTCGTCTCTTCAGAGGATGCTCGATCAGTGGGCAGGCCAAACTCCAGTGCGCGCAGTGTTAGAGAGCTCTGAACTGCTGTGCATAGCAATCCCGCGATTCACTGGACAGGAGAAGAACGTTTCTCCTATAACACTCACTGAGACAGTAAACATGCCAGTGTTCGCCAATCAAACAACAGAAGTGCAATGGGAGCCTTACAGACTCCGAGCAGCAATACTGCATTATGGGCAGGAAAGCACATCGGGGCACTACAGAGCATTGGTGAGCCATGACGGAGACTGGTTCTTAGGAGATGACTCTCAAACCCCAGAAAAGTGCACCCTGGCCAGTCAGATCGTGAGTCGAAACTGCTACGTTTTGTTTCTCGAGAGGCATAGAGAAGCCAGGGACCAGCTCATTGCCCCCTCAGGAAGCCGAGATGTCGCTCCAAGCATTCTTTAGCAAGTCCATGGATGAGAGTCAGGCACCGAAGCGAGGCGAGCCAGTCAGCACGGGTGGAGGGTCTCCCCCAAAAAGAGCTAAAGGTGGAGATCCTCCCCAAGACTTGCAAAAGTCGACAGCAAACAGGGCCGAGGCCGAGGCAGAGGAAGCGGCAAAGGTAACCCACAGGGTTCCACTCCTTCGAATCAAAGTCAGAACAGCGGCGGCCGTCAAAGAGATCCTCTGGTCAGTGCTTTGGCCAAGCTTGTCATCAGACACGATGAGCAACTGCTAGCACTCTCATGCGACATAACGTTTATCTCCTACATGAAAACAGATGAGCATTCGATCCTCCCCCTACTATACGCTGAAAAGAAAAGGCTTCAGGCCAGTATGTCTTCCGTCGCCCCCAAGACAGCATTGACACTCAAGCTATTCCGAGAGCTGAAAGACAGACTGATCGCAGTGAGCAAAGACAGGGAAATGCAAGACCAGCTCATCAGCGATGGGACGCTCAACTCCGAGGGGGAGTGGCCATTCTTGGAATGGTCGGCTACGGACCAATCGATGGTTGAGACACTCGACGAACCTCTCAACACATCGCAGGTAGTCTCAGGCCTGGGTGACATCATCGCCAGAATCTCGACAGACCCTGACCATGTCACTCTATTCCGCACATCGAGACCACTCACGGAGACGATGTCAGGTGGACCGGTCCGTCTGCAACTTCAGCTCTCAGCACGTTCCTCCAGTTCGGAGGTGGTGGAGTCTCTTCAGTCATTAGTAGGGAATTCGGCTTTCACCTTGATCAATTGCGATTTTCAAAAACAGGGATTGCAACCGTCACCCTTGATTCGTCAGATAAGGGAATTGATCTAAGATCAAATCCGAGATGTAGTCAGCTACACCTCACGAGTAGGTGAAGCCGGCTATCATGAGATAGTCTGACAACAAGGTGGAGTAGCTCCCCACAAAAACTGCACAGTCCCTGTTGTACAGGAGGAGTCTCTCCCCTAAGGACCCTGCGCAGAGAGCCAAAAATCAGACTCTCACACTATAAGAACCCCCCTTTTAAACCTTACCCGCCTCCTACATTACGCCAGGTCTCAACTGTCTGCCTCCAGAGGACACGAGGACAGAACAGACAGCAAATGGACAGCTTTGCTTCTTTCACTGCTGTATTATGACCGTTGGAAGCCTCAGCCGTTCAGTGATTCAATCATTCTAGCAGCCCCACGTAGCAACATGGTGTACGACTGCTCTCCTACCCAGCTCACGCTTGCGCTGATCCCCACCTTTGCGGGACTACTCTACATGCACCTGGCCTCGACCGGAACGGAGATGCTCCCCGGTGAGGTACTCAGAGACTTGGAGACGCGGATCCAGGCGCTGTCGATCATAACAAAGGACCAGCTTATGTGTCTTGCGGTGGAGTTGCTCCCCGCAGACGGGGTCCGGACGCTCATGCAGCACCTGGGCGTTCTGCACGGGTTCTCCGAGTGGGACGAATTGAAACGCCGCAGGAGACGAGCCTTGACGGAACTGTCCCTCGCCTACCTTGCGGCGGCTCGACTTCAGTCCGGAGCTTTTGCAGCCCAAGGACAACACTTACACACATTTGACTTGGTGGCCCTGGAACGTGAAACTTACATAGCGAGTTACACGTGCAGGCTGCTGGTGGAGCCTCTGAAGACTCAATACTGGAATCGACAGAGACGGTCCGCAGTCGCTTCTTCCAGCAGGACAGGACGCTCAATCTCGCCGCAGCAGAGTGGGAAGTGCACAGCAATCGTCTTCAGGCCCAGCCCGAGGATTGAGCTGGCCGCAGGAGGAGTCTCTCCCCTGGAGAAGAGTAAAGGAGGAGATTACTCCTCTTAGGCAAAGAAGGTGGAGATTCTCTTTCAGGTGGAGATTCTCCCCATGCACTTTTGTCTCCGCTGGAGGAAGTATCCACGTGTACAGAGGAGACTCTCCCTTAGCCGGCGGACCTTCAATAAGTGGAGATTCTCCCTTAGGAGGAGTTTCTCCCCGCAGAGTTTTTGGAACAAACCGCATGACTGCGTGCAAACAGGAGCGAACAGTCTCGCAGTTCGCCAAGCTTGTTCCATTACTGAGAGTGCAACTTTGTCCAACTGTGAGGACAGCCGGAGTCACTCCGCTGACATCATCACCGTCGGGATGCTCCAATCTCAGGACAGCAGTGAGTGATTCCGCGCTTGGACATGAAGCTTCTTGCCGCAAATGCATGAATCATTTAGCTTCTCTCAAAGCACTCAGAGAGTAGAACTTCTATGTATTCTTCAGACTCCCACCTAGTTAACTCCCATAAGCCACAGGACCCTCGAAGCTGCAGTCATCTAGGCATTCATGTCGCACTCGGCGCAAGACCCCTCCTACCACGCTGAGTACGAAGAATACTGCCAGCAACGTGAGAGGAGTCAGCTCCCTTACGTCTCCTATCGTAATTACCTTCGTCAGTGGCGGCGAGCTGCGCGTGCTCACGGAGAAGATTATCCTCGCCATAAAGGAAAAGGCGAATCAAAGGGGGACTCACAGAGAGATGCTGGCAGTGGCCTGCCTCCCTCTCCTCCCCAAGCGACCAGGAAGCGGCAGACCAAGGAGGGCGAGGGCGGAGATACTCCCCCAACGGCGAAAGCCAAGAGTGGAGATGCTCCCTCAGGAAGTAATTCGACGAGAGCAGACTCCGCTCCAGGGTACAAGGAGGAGCCACAATATCTTGAGGCCATGAACTTTCTGGCGTCGGAGGGGTACACCTCTTACCCGCCACTCCAGGCTGGTTGCGACGGATCGATCAAGGACCTTAATGTTCATAGAATCAGCGTGGCCGTGACCAAGCAGCTTCGCGAAGGACTGAGTCAGGTTGCAGCACTCACTTCCAAGATAGCGGCCTCACTGATGGTAACCTTTCTGGCATCCCGTGTTGGGCTCTATGGCGAAAGCCTCATGCAGCTTCTAGGGAAACCCGAACAGGAGGACGAAAGCTGGTTCCGTTTTCCCTACTCCTCGCCGAATACACTGGGGAAGGAAGGAGAGAAAGCGTACCACGGAACGCACCTCGAGTGCCTACACGCCATGTTGGCGACTGGCAGGATATTACCATCATCCTCCGTCATCGAAGGTGCCAGGCACTTCGACGGTCGCCCTGGTGTCTATCTCCACAAGGAGGTTAACAGACATCTAGCAGCGGGTTACGCCTCGTTAACCCGTTACGGACCAAAACATGTATTTATGAGGGCAATGCTGGAAGTTCGATACGATCAAGATGGCTCTTTAAAGAAAGGAAAACAAACGAACCAGCTAATCCTGGCCTATGACAGCGTGCAGATCACAGCCATTCTCATACAGATAGTGACGAAGGAGCACATGCAGTTGGGGGACTATATCCGAGAGTGGTCCGGTGGACTGGAGGTGCCCCTCGAAAGCACCAAGCAGGCCTTTGTCTCTCTGGGGCTTGAGAAAACCTGGCAACCAGATGCTGGCAGGAAGGCGCCAGCAGGACAATCAAGTGGAGACACTCCCTTGACCGCGATGAAGGGTGGAGGTTCTCCCCCGGAGGAAAAGAGTGGAGCATCTCCCTCAACACAGGGCACAGACGTTGCAGATTCCAGTCAGATAAAGACGGGACAGCGCACAGGAGAAGACATACAGCCCTGGAAAGGCGAAGTTGGCAGCTTGGGAGCGTATCGGGAAGATTCAATGAATCCCAGAAGCTCTCTGGCAACTGCCATCTTAAAGGCACTCTCGGCCTGTTTACGTCATGGACATAAACCACATATTTCCATAACCCCAGCTGGGTGGGTCAGAGTGGTGGGTCTTCTTGAATGGCCAAGGATACGGGAGCAGCAAACCACAGCGGGAGACCTCATGGAAGTTGTACGCTCCAATGAAAAGAATCGCTTTGAGATGGGGCGCAGCGCAGCAGGTGGGTGTCGGTATGTGCGAGCGGTCCAGGGGCACTCCAGAACCGACGTTGATGATGAAGCCGTTCTGGAAGTACTGACGGAGGAGCAACTCCCCGAAGAAATCATTCATGGAACGCACTGGACGCTCTATGATTCTATTCGCTCGACCGGACTATTGCCGCAATGCCGACTTAAAGGCAAGGGCGGCGTCAAAGGTCGTGAAGGACGAAAACACATCCATTTTACTACCTTAGGAAGCAGCCAGGAGGCAGGAGTATCCGGGATGCGGGCCAACGCAACGATGGTGGTGGCCGTCAACGCCAGAACAGCTAGTTCGATGGGAGTTCGCTTCCTGCGAAGCAGGAACAGCGTTATTCTCACAGCTGATGATGTGCCTCCGGAGGCCATTGTATACTTTCAGAGTCTGCGTAATCAAGTCAAGTATGATCGGTGGGGCTCAACTCTCTAAGAGCCACTCAATCTTACATACTGAGGAGCCACTTCTGGTTGATAGTATTAGGAGGAGTTTCTTCCCTGCAGCAATGCATATCTTTCTTCTAGCTTACTGTGACTAGCCTAAATGCTTGCTGTTTGTTAAAGGTTGTCAGGGAAGTCCCACCAGATTTCTATTTATCTTTCGAGAGAAGAATCTCCCTCGTAGCTTGAGCAGAATGGAGGAGACTCTCCCCAAAAGCCAACTTGTCAAAATGCAGCGAAAAAGGCGGTTCCAAATTAGGGGTAGTGTCGGACTTTGCTCACAACAAACAAGCAGGGCCGTGTGGACATCTTGAGGTTCAAAGCAAGAGCTCAGCCAGATAGTCATGGCGGAAACACCGAAGCGAACATCAGGTCGAGACGCCTCCAGAACCCCACCACCTGTGAGAAGAACGGACAGAGCAAGAAGGTCTATCCCGTCAAGTGACGAAATCGAAGACTCAGATGGTGAGATCCCTGGAGCTAAGGCGCCGCCCACAGGGCGTAATCTCGCGTTGGGAACTCCAAGGTCATCCTCAGAACCACCAGCAGGACCTCCGCCTCCCAAACCGGTCAACCTGCCTCCTGCAGCAGCCGAACGGCCGGGTGGAGGTCCTCCCCCGAAAAGGCCTGTTCCAGCGAAGGCGCCGCCAACTATTCTCTCGCATGGAGGCACGGGAACGGTAGAAGTTATCACTTCAGCACCGACCTCGGCAGCAGACTCAACGCCGAATTCCGCAGGTCCCATGGTAGAGTCCAGCAGCCATGCATCGGAGATGCCCACCTTAAGGGTGCAGTTGCCAAGCCGGCTTCTTTTCAATGTAGAGATCGTGATAAGAGGTGACACTCCTCAAGCAGAGTAGCCTCGAACAAGGAGGCTTGAGAAGTTCAGGCTGACTTTCGAAAAAGATCTGTCAGCAGCAGCACAGATGACTCACATCTCCTGCCGTCCCTGTCAAGCGCCATCAAGCCTCTCAGCAACGTAGTCTGCTGCCTTCAGAGGCGGGACGCATGCTGGCGCAGGGCTGAGGCACGACCAGCAGCGCTGATGAGACTGGCTTTATCAACAAGTGCAAGTAGAGCAACATAGGTCGAACACTCGCAAAGCGAGGAAGCTGTCTCACCCCAGGATATCGTCTCCCGCTGCGTGTGAATGAATGTTGTTGTTGTTGTTGTCGTCGTCGTCGTCGTCGTCGTCGTCGGCTTCGTCGTCGTCGTCGTCGTTGTTGTTGTTGTTGGTGGTGGTGGTAGCAATTTGACTTAGACTTAGGATCAAGTTGAGCTGCTGCTGCTGCTGCTGCCGCTGGGTTCCGAGATAATGCTGCTGATGATGTTGATGATGATAGTACCGACGACAGGGAGCAGGATGGTAGTGATGTCTGCAGCTTCGTCTTTTGGTTGTTCCTGCCAAACGAAGGATCGCTTCAGCTGGAAGTAGACTTAGACTTCAAGCAAACGTCACCTGGAGGGGCTTCGCCGTCTCCAACCTTGAACATCAAGACTGGCGCCAGTTCGCTCCGTTTTACTATCTGGGACAGTCGAAACATGCAGGTCACGAAGTGGCTGACCGCGACGATACAGGCAACAACCGCCCTGCAACAAGGCAGGGCGTAGGTCGGCCTTATTCTCTTCGACTGTTCGAGTGGTCTTTACAATCTACAGCACTTTGTTGACTTTGTTAGTTGGTGATACCTGATGTTGGCACAGGGCTTTCGATAGTCCAGGAGTAGCACGCGCGCAGACAGGAGCCACATAGCAAACCCCCAAGTGGGACTGAACGCATTCGCCTCCTGCAACCTCGGAAGCATCAGCCCTCAATCCGAAGTCTTTCTCCCACTAGCTTTGACCGCCAAGGACATAATTAGCACCCGGCTGTACTGCAACACCAAGGCTCTAAGCCCCAAGCCTCATGGCCCAACCTCGCAAAGCCATTCTCCGTGATTTCCAGCGGAAGGCATGGACACTGCACTCTCTGTGACCGGCTCGACCGTCGATTCAACATTGCAGAACTATGCAGGGGCCGTAGAACTCATGGGCAGAATGATTTGTGCTGAGGGGGGTGGGGTGGGGGCTTTGGGATTCAGGTTTTACGGGAGTGATTCTGGCAGTGGTCGTAGTGGTAGAAGTGGTGGTAACAGCATGCTGCGGTGCTTATTGCAAGCTGCTAAACCCTTCAGGGCATTCAAAGAAACATCTGCCCTCGTATGGTTCTCTGACTTAAAACAGTCCCTGTATGGGATTCTGACATGCTTGGTCGATCATGAACTACGGGGCTTATGTGTCATGCATCATCATACATCCACGAGTCACACTCATCTCGTGCTGAGCGGTCTGCCGAGACTGGCACTTGGGAAGCACGCGATTTTCTGTGCTGAGGATGGGAAAGCCGACCCAGCGCACTTCAAGGCATGGATCGGACGGCTCTAGCTTTGCAGCATAGTCTACGTCTAGGCTAGCATAGAATGTAGCTCATTTGTTAAAAGTATCTCCGGCTTAGTTCGTTCGGAGGCATTAGGTCTAAGGTGTTGACTAATCTAGTTTTGTGGGCTTTGTTCCTCTCTTATGATACAGGATGGAACGCAAAGACCGCACTGGCCAGTCCGCAAGCTTGAGTGAAATATACTGAGATGAGCCCTGAACCTCCACATACTGCATGTTTCTGGTTATGTTGAGCATTGTGTTTACTTTTTAACATGCAGAGCCATGTCGCAATAATGTGCAGGACAATATCTGCCGTGTGTTAAAGTTGTCAGACTTGTACGACAAGATCCCTAAACCCTAAGCCCTGAAATGATGAATCTCCCGTGGAGAGGAGACCCTTGACTGGCGGATTGCAAGTCTGAAGCCCTTTGAGCAGGCTAGAATATACATCAATATACCAAATGCACTAGAACATACCTTCATAAACTAATTTACCGTGTATATATATATATATACAGATGTATACTATCACAATCATGAACTTGCTTTAATATACGTTGATATACATTGATATACTACAGTATACTACAAAATACTATAACATATTCTGTTGACTAAACATCATTAATACACTTCAATATACATTGATATGCTATACTATACTAGAAAAACCGCTAATGAATTTTAGTATACAGTGATATACCATACAATACCGTATTAAACATTATCTACACAATATACATTGATATACGATGATGTACTATAATAATCATTGATATACTATGTTACACATTGTTATACTATAATATGCCAAAATACAGCATGCTTTCGGAAGTTTGAAGAGGCAAAGGCACTCCCGGCCATCGAAGTTGTCGCCGGGAAGTCCATGGAGAAAGCGTCTGTCTCAGCTCACAGGTTCCCTTCAACCCTGAGCCTCATGGTGCCCTTGACAGTATCCTTAAAGAGCAGCGGTGGTACCCTTGTAGAACACATGGGTTTTTTGAAGAAACTTATCTTGCCAATCTAGAACCGCTAGGCGCACCGGGAGACATCTTGGGGTTCCGACTCCCTGGGCGATTCGGGCAGTGGGTTTGAGGTCGCAGGTGTCTTTCGCGCGCGCGCACGCTGTATGTGGTCCGGCATAGGATGTGGTGGTACCATGTTCCGCTACAGACTATGTTATAGATGGTTTGGCACAATGTTGTGGAAATGCTATGGTCTCCATGCCTTGTTGTATTGCATGGTGTTCTGCAGCATGCTGTGCCGATCGGCGGGTCGTGGGCTCCCACAGGAAGCTGGGAAGCGGACCGACCAGAAGCCGCAAATCCTGAGACCCATCGCCCCTGCTCGCCCCGATGCCCCGAACCTTGCAGCTGATGAGCTGAGGTGAAGCCCCTGGTGCATGATGTCTTGAACGAGCTGAGGACTCTTGTGATGTAAAGCTAGGGTTTAGGGTTTAGGGTGTCTGAGGCTCTAAGTTTGACAGGGGATCAGGGTTTCGGATGGTTTCGGGAATCTGACTGAGTTCCTTCGGGTGTGGCTTCTCTGGGAAAGGTTTCTGGTTGAGAGCAACGGTTCAGACTCCATATGCCTTTCGTGAACAAAAGCTTCGACGGTGAATGTAGATTGTAGCAGATATCTGCATGCATGCATATATATATATATATATATATATATAATCCATGTACCTGTACATATGTGTATGTACACGCACAAATCAATGAATCTATATATATATATATATGTCATTATGTATCTCTATCGGTATCTGTATCTGAATCTGTGTATGTATGTATGTATGTATGTATGTATGTATGTATGCATGCACATGCATGTATGTATGTACAGATATATATATATATATACACGCATACATATCAGTCTCCCTGGCTCCCTCTTTTTGTCCTGTACCCCTCTTTCTCTCTCTCTCTCTCTCTCTCTCGCTCTGGCGCTCTTTCATTACATGACATGGGAACATGCCCCAATGATTCCAAAGCAAGTACGGAGACCAATACATACGTACATGCATGCATACCGCATAGAGTGACTAGTTGCGAGCTGCTGCATTGAGACGGTATTCGCATAAAGAGCTATTCGACAGGAGGGACGGGACAATTATCCGGGGAGGGCGGAATGTCAGAATGTCTGTAGGGATTCGCTGCGGCTTGTTCCGAACCATTCGGCAAGGCCCATATCTACTTGTACGGTTTTTTGGGCTAGGGTTCAGTTTAAGCTAATGGGGCTCAGCATGGAGTCACAGCGCTCTTGTCTGCGAGCTTTACTGAATTCTTGTTGCTGTGAACCCAGACCTGCGCTGAGCCAAGTGGGCGAATGGCCTGGGACCTGGCAAAATCGGATTTTCTGCCTTGGGAAGCTGCAAGGTTTATGTGTTTAGGATTTAGGGTTCAGAGTGTGGCTTTGGGGCTTAGGGTTCAGAGAGCGGCATTCTTGAGGGCGGCTGGGGTGAAGAACACGATCTGATCTCTCGGATCTCTACCTCTGGGGCCAGCTTTGTACTCTGGGACGAAGGTGGATTTCTGGAACTTTGGCGTATAAACGGATCTCATGGTTTGGGGTCATGTAGCTTTTTTAAATACTCCGTACCTGGCTTGTAGTTTATGTGCCGAATCCCACAATCTTGAAAGCACGTCAATTTCAAAAGGCGACGTCATCGCAGCCACGAGGGCAGCCCAAGAAGCATTTGGGAGACTCAGTGCTTTCTTTTGTTGGCTTGTTTCCGCATTTTTTTGAGAGGTGCGGCAGGATTCTTTGCGCCTTCGATTTTGCGCTTCCGAGGCGGAGAAAGGCCAAGCGGCTAAACGACGACGCCAAAAAGGCAACCAGAAAAGTGCAAAAACAAAGCAAAAAGCCAAGGCAATCTGGAGACCACCGGGCCCAGCTTCGGCGTTCACCTCGGACAAGCGCAGTTCAAAAACACGAAGCAAAATGTGCCATGAAAGCAGGCAGAGGGCAATCCGGAGGGGCCCGGATGCGATGTTCTTCGCAACGAAAAAACGAGGCAAACAAAAAGGCGCCGACAAGGCAAATCCTGGTGCGCACCGTGTCTTTTGAGAAAGGATGGAGGGTTGGGCATGCATTGGGCTGACATTCAAGTCCGAAATTACTACTTTGGGATCCGCAGGATCGGGGGGGTTCCACTGGCGCTAGGGGGGTCGGTACAAGAGTCCAGTGGGCGCACTTTGTCCATTGGAAAGGGACGAACAGCGGGGCAAAGGATGCTTGGGCTTGAATCTAAACGACTAACACATTAGTCTTGTACTTTGAGGGACTTTGAGGGGTTCCACTGGGCGCTGGGGGGTCGGGAGGCAAAGGTGGGGTTGGGCATGCCTTGGGCTTGAATTAAAGGCGGACTGTGTCCACTGAAAAAACAAACGAAGAGCGGTCGAAACACAACTTCTGGGCATCGGCCCGGTGGGTCGGCGGATAACATACGCTAACATAAATTCGAACTCCCGAAACTCAGCAGCTGCATGCCTCTTGAATCACGACCTCGCCAAGCCAAACACACGGGTCGGAAGAATAAGTTAAGCTATGTTTTTTTCAGGGCTGCTTGTTATGAATATCCCGACATCTTTTTTTTTTTAAGTTTTCTTACGGCCTCCACATTAAGATGTTCCCTTCACCTTCGGCCCAGGTTGGGTTCCTTCAGTGCAAAGATCCAGGACACGCTGGAAGAGTTCGGAACTGTCGCCGTGCCCCAGCTGCAGTGCATTATATCTTCTAGTATAGACTCCCCAGTTGCAATAGACTATACCTTGTAGTATAGAATATTGTATATAAACTATAGTAAAGATTATGGTAGAACATAGTCTATATCAATATACTAGAGTATGTCAAAGTATGTTGTGGTATATGTCTTGCAAACTCTCAGATTTTATCGTAGTTTACAGCCCAATTGCGTATACTGCGCATGTTTCTTCAGGTTATAGTCCTAATCTGTTATATAGTCTAGTGTATTGCAGCATGTTGGCGCGTATATGCAAATGCATATCATAGCATATTGTAGTCTGTTCTAGGAGTATGTGCATTCCCTCCCACACGATTCGCTTTATCACTCACTAATCTAGTTGAACACCTGTGAGAGGAAGAGCTTGCTGAAGCTGGAGTAAGTGAGTAGGTACTGCTGATGTTGCTTTGCGAGTACCCTTATGAAAGTGCAGGGTATCAAGTTCGAGTGTTTTCGGGATTCCTCGTCATATTATATTTCTCGCCCGCATCGTCATCGCCATCACCCTGTCCAGTCACCGTCACCACCACCTTCATCAACATCTCCATCACTGTCACGGTCATTGTCACCGTCACGTCGCCATCACCACCATCGCTGTCGTCATCATCAGCATTCTCAACATCCTCACTCTTATATAAATCCCGAACCCTAAACCCGAAACCACTACTGATGCTAGCCTTGCTTCCATCGTCGTCCTCGTCTTCCTTGTTCTCCACTGAGGACCGTGCCCAGAAGCTGTTCGATCAGGCGCACCTTTTGTGTCCCACACTAGAGCTCGAGGACGTTCACGCATCTTCGTCTTTTCGCTGTTATTTCAATGAGTATACGTTGGCTGTTGTTAGTATTAGTTTTAGCAACAGTAACGAGTATAAAAAATAGTACAACCTTGGCTTCGCCGGGAAGCTTCCGACCGGTCTCGCTTCTCCCTTCTTGCACATGTGTAAGTGTTCAGGATGCTGGGGGAAGTCCTGATTCTAGTGAGAACCTGCCAATCTCGTTTGGTTTTCCTTGTTGCTCGTACTTTGCAGGAGAAATTACCCTGCTTGATTTCGAACCTTCACGGTTCAGGATCGGGTTGAGCCAAGATCGGACTCATTCGGAGTCTCATGTCGAGACAGCATCGCCCGCACGCTGTAGGATATCAGCGCAGACACAATACATCCTGCGTTGTATCTGCCGACAGAGGACATGTGTGTTAGATCCAGATAGGCAGATAGAAAGATGTGCAGGTGTTTTTCACATACATCTATATGTATATGTAACCTCCCCGGAGCCACCTCATCAGACACAGTTTCGAGTGCCGCTTGTCCTGCCATGTGCGTGTTTTTCGTGAAGCAGCCCAACAATCCCGGGGCTGTCACAGTCTTGCCACAAGGATTTATCGGACATTGAACGCAAGGTATGTGAGGGCTCGTAGTGCGGATGGTAGTGGCGAGCACTCTGCAGCTGTGTCAGTGACAGAAGAAGTTGTGCGTAGAGGTACTCACGAAAACGGATAGGAGAATGCTGAGATTGCATGTAAACACAAGTGCTGCAGGTTCTAGGCAAATACGAGAGAATGCATGCAATACCGGAGGGAAGCCATGCAACATTCGCAGCCCAATGTACAAGTCTATGTGACTATACACTGTACATCATGATATTTATAGGTGTGTCGGCAAACGGGACTTGTGGTATCAAGGGTTTTTGCAAAGGGACCGTGAGTATGTGCCCGAGGTGTTTTGGATGTCGAAGCCTCCCATTTATCTTATCAGCTCCCCATCACCAGTCAGGAAATTGACCTTACAAACCACATTTGCTTTTTTTTTCAGGCCTCGACGACGATAGTACAGTAGAGGTCTATGTGCTGACCCTTACAATACTCCCTGTTGTGCAAGCCGCGACCTCATATCCTTATTTCAGCAAGAAGAGCAATTGTCCTGGCAGGAAACTTCCAGGCCCTTTGCCCCTGTGTTGTGTTGCCTGGACCAGTTTCTGCTAGGTCATGCAGCAGATGGCTTCGAGTGGCGGAATGTACAAGGAGTTTATCCTGAAGCGGGGGTCTCTGGTTAAGGACATCACGATGCAAAGATAGGCATTTCCTCACAGACTGTTGCCCCCGTTTGGGGCGTTCCAAAGGACTTGGTAGGAATGACTACCCAGCTAGAAAATTGAATGTCAGCACCTTTCAGTCGAATGCTCGCGGTCACAGGAGATGGTGTTCGACACCTACCATATCTTCGACCCCTACGACGACGGCCAGACCGGCCGTTGCTGTCTCCCTCGTCTGTGTGAACCAACGATCTGAGACGTGCATTCCTTGCACAAATGGGGGCTTCCGAAAATAGGGGACCCTAATATAGTACCCTAAATAGAAGGATCCTTATTATAAGGACCCCCAAATAAGGTACCCTAATTTTCGGAAACTCCCAAATGGCGGCACCAGTGCTCCCACCGTGCAGGCATCGATGTCAAGGAGCTGCAGCAGGCATGGCCTCGAGTTCATTCGCCTCGGTCTACGGTGTTGGAAGGGCAAAGTGTTTCAGACTTCTGGACAGTTCACCATTTTTTCAGGGCTACCTGACCCGAAACGGGCACCGACCAATGATCCCCGGCACTTTATCACCGGTGCCCGATTCTGTCTTCGGTGGCCCACTCATGTCCAGGCAGCCAATCAGTATGGCATCACGTCCCTCCAAGGGCAGAAGGCAAAAGACTTGGTGCAGCCTTGACTTTTTGGGTAGGCGATGTACTCGTAGCCGTGTGGCTTTCCTCCGAACTCTCGCTGCAAAGGGCGCTATGAACTTCTCGACATTCCTTTCCCAGATCACAAAGCATACTACGTGTTGACAGAGGCGCTGAAATCGGGGTATAGAGCCCCCCTTCTGATGATTGGTAGGGCAAAGCCAAAGGCAGCACAACTTGAACCCCAAGCCCAAAGCTCCAACCCCGATTCTATAACGAAGTTACCTGACCTAGACCGTAAACCCCCAACCCCTAAACCCCTAAATCCCTAAACCCCTAAACCCCTGAACCCCTAAACCCCTAAACCTCTACACCCTAAACCCTAAACTCCTAAACCCCAAACCGTAGCTCAATCCCACAGTTTTTGTGCTTCGACCTCGACCCAAAACCTCTAAAAGGATGCTTTTGAGCTTTCGGCAAGCTCCTCTTTCAGAAATTTGATGCTTAGGGGTCTTTCCAGGTGTGGGGGTTTGATGCCTAGGGCTCTTTCCAGCTGATCAGCAGAGCCTGGGTCAAAAAAAGGGCTCTTTCCCAGGGTTTGGGGGTTTGAGGGTTTGGAGTTGCGGATTCGCGGCATACATGAGGCTTCCGAGTCACGGGGTCCGTGTCTTTGTCCGCATGAGGAATGCTGGTATGCCCCTGGTCCTCCGCACAGCCACTGCCTGGAGGCTGTTACGCTCATGAAGAAGTACAACACGGACAACAAGGGCGGAATCGACATCCACGAGTGCCGCCCTCGGACTCTGCCTTGCCATAGGGGCCCCTGGCAACTTCCATCCGATGGGAAACTTTCGGAGTTCGGATAATGATCTGGATTCGTCGGGTATCACTCCTTCATGCCACCACCAAGCCTTCAAAACAGACGACGTGGAATTTAGGGTTACCTCATATGTGCAGCTTCCTTGTTCAACTCGACGGTTTTCGCTCCTCGAAGCAGCAGGGCTCGAAACGGGGGTGGGATCCTGGATCAACCGCCTCAAATCTCTGCGCGGATACACCTTTTTTCAAGACGATGTTCCCCTAAACCCCAAACCCCTAAACCCTAAGCCCTAAACCCCTAAACCCTAAACCCCTAAACCCTAAACCCTAAACCCCTAAAGCCTCAACCCAACCCCGAAGCTCATGACTGGAGGTGGGGCGACTCCTAAACCCTTGAACTGAACTTCCCGAAGCCCAACGGCAGGTATGAGGGCCTTGTGACGGATCCCTCCCTTCCAGGTGGTACGGGTCGGGCACAGGATTTGAAGTTGAGGGGTCTTTTATGTTTGGTGAATTCAAAGTCGACATGCTTGGTGAGTTGAAGGAGGACTTTGTCAGCTCAAGTTGCCCAGGCATAGATGGGCTTCTTTGTTTTGTGTTCGTACAGTTCGAAGTCTAAACATAGCAGCGCAAGTACCTGTTTGAGTTGGAACAATGATTCCTGGTATGCACTATGGAATTGAAAGGTCGCACCAAGTTCTGTTGCGAGTTGGCTTCACACCGCCTACTCAAGGGCCTGCATCACCCTATCTTCCAAACTGGGTTGAAGACGACCCTTGAGATAATTACAGCTGATTCTACGGAGATTAATGAAGGGCTACAACCTAGTAGCTGCAACCATCGCTGCTATTAGCCCTACTTACCGTACTCATGGCCGTCATCGTAACTACAAATTGGGACGGAAGCAATCCCAGAATTGCCTTGTCTGCATCCTTCTCCAGATATCGTAGAGGAGGAAGGCTACTCCCTGGGGTTTGTTTTTTCGGAAACTGTTGGGTTTAGGGCCAACCTTGCTTGCAAGTTCGGTGGAAAGGCTTGATGACGACCATCCTCCGCACTTACTCGAACCGGCTACTGCAGTCTGCAATGAGTTTCCCAAAAAATTCAGGTTTGGAGTGTCTGGGACTTGTATTTACAGCTGTTGCGTCTTCTAAAGGTTGGTTTTCCCGATCTAGCCTTGAAAGCCATGCTTGTGGGTTCCATTGCTGTTCATACTGTACTGTACTGTACTGTGCTACAATATACGACATTATGTTAACTTGTAACGTATGATTCATATATAAATATATATATATATATATATATATATATGTATACATATATAGGTATACATATATATATATATATATATATGCATATTTAAATGTGTGTACATATATATATATATATAATAGATATAAATAAATACATGAGTAACTAAAAGCAAATAAAGAACACATGTATGCATGTATGTATGTATGTCTGTATGTATGTGTGTATATATATATATATATATGTATTACGTATGTTAGTGGTACCCGAACTCAGGGCCCAAGGCCAGCAAACGGCGTCTTGCGCGCGATGCGAGCCCATAGATGGTTTGTAAGCAAAAATCATGTCAGACTTCTATGCTACGTATAATATTATAGTAAATACCACAATATTATATTCGTACTCATCGCCAAGATTCCAGCGTGAAGTGCGATTCCAATGGAAAGGAAGGGAGGAGAGAGCGAGAAGCCCCAATGAGGAGTCCCAGCGTCCCCAAGCCCCCCCTAAACCCTAAACCCTAAACCCTAAAACCTAAACCCTACTGTTCGTGACTTGTCGCGAGGTGGAAAAAGGCCCTCAGAAAAACAAAACCTAAACCCAAAACCCACAGACACAGCAAGCATGGCTTGGGGCTGCCGGGTGTCGGGACAGGTAGGGCAGGTCGGAGGTTGCATAGAGGCAACCGGTCACTGCACCTCCAGGGTCAGGGATGAGTCGATGTAGTACCGGTTTAGGGTTCAGGATTTGGGGGTTTAGGGTGTAGGGTTTAGGGGTTTAGGATTTAGAGTCCAGAGTTTAGGGGTTTAGGGTTTGGGGAATGGGGCCAAGATGCCGAAGTGTTCGTTACGGGACCTTCGTTTGGGATGGTGTTTCTGTGCACGGTGTGTTTGGGTTCAGCACAACCATTTTGCAGACAGACTGCCACTGCTCCTTAACTGTGCAGAAAGAAGGCACGTATAAAGACATTGTAGCGGAAGGGTTCTTCTTGCCACAGGACAGACAGATATAATATGATATAATATAGTATAATACAATATAATATAATAGAATATAGTATTTTATAATATAACATAATGCTGTCGAACATGGCTTCGAGCTCCCTCATGGTCTGGGTGCAATCTGGCAGCGGAGGCTTGCTTCCGTCGGCTCCGAGCTGAAAGTGGTGAAGCTGCGCGCGGAGGTCGGAGAATGTGGGAGAGCGTGGGACAGTATGCCCAAGTTTATGCGGTTCAGGAACGGGGGGTTTGGCGTGTCCATGGTAGGGACACAAAGATCCAGACGGCTTCCATTTCTGAGTCCGTATCCTCAGACGCCATAAGATTCGAGTCAGTTGCAGTTGCAGGTGGCAACTGCAGTGGTGGATTATTTGACCCTGGTGGCCAGCAAGAACCTCACGAAGGCAGCGCTACTCTGGCACACGCAGCAGCACCATAACTCTCATGTTTTCGGCTTACCACTTTTTTTTTGGATGAGGCTGCTGCAGCCCAAACCAGGCTCAACCTTACACCCTAAAGCAGGAAATCCCAAACCCTGAAACCCTCAACCTTCAAGTAATCCTAGCACCCTGTTCAAACTTGTCTGGAAGGTCGGTTGGGTGACGGGCCGTCTCGTCAGCGGCGAACTCCCGCTGGACCTGAGAGTTCTGGGGTGTTGTACTGAAAAGTATTGTTTTGAACGCTATGCCGTTGAATGGTGGGTAGTAGTACCATAACGCGGGCATAGATCTTCAAGTTTGTGCTGTTACTATACCTGTATGGACGGTTGCTATGAACAAGGTTGTTATTCTCTTTCTCTTTATCAGGGGTTGAGGGCTAGACAAATTGATCACAGAGCCGATTTTGCTCAGCGGACGAGGACTTCTTCCTTTTGCCACCCCTGGTAGTCATGTATGCGCCGAACTTCAATATGTAGCCAGCCACAAGTGTTCAGAGGTTTGATCCTCCGCAAATAGCGTTGGCAATATGAACAGCAGCTGCAGGCGAATTAGAGGTGGTCAGCACTAGCGGGAGGAGGAGGAGAATAATGCTGTCCAGTTGCTTCCCCCAGTCGGGAAGACACTTTACCCTGTCAAGATCCTGTAGACGACGCTTTACGCCTTTGGAAGGGTTTGGCAAGGCCCGTGTCGCGAATCTGAAACGCGCCCAGGCAAAGTGTTCGACAGGTCGGGACGGCCATGCTCTCTCACCAAAGCTTTTACTGCTCCATTTGTCGATCCACTCGATACTCATATGATTCCAAGAAACAGGGTGCAGTACCGGGATAACGCTGCGACGTCGTCAAACATTTGTTGCAGGGTTTCGTGGTAGGCGCGCCGGCTAGGAAGGCTCCTTCGAGCCCGTCAGCCATGGTGATTCATGCTTTCATTCCAGTTTGGAGAAGTTTCGGTTTCTTCGACTCAGGCGTTCGGCCTAGAGAAAGCCCGCTCTTTACAGTCCAATCTCCTGAAGAGGGTTTCTTTGCAAGTACCGCGCAGGAGTTCACGGCCGATGTTTTCTATGAGTTGTACAAAGCCAAGACGGATTCCAACAACATGTCGCCCATCGATGTGGGATCCCTTATCATCAACTACACCTTGCACGAAAACCCGACTCAGGCCGGGATGCTGGATAACGCCGGAGCGTCAACTACTTTCGCTTCAAGCTTGATGCATCTAACTTTTGAGCCACGGCTAGACCCAATACCCGTCTCTGCCGCTACATACAATTCCCGGCCGGGCTTTCGCGCATGTAGCCCAGCATAGACAGTTGCATTACGGTTGATTCCATGAGTAGCCTTGCCACTATGTGATCTTAGATTAAACCCTGCGACATGACGCTTAAGTTCTGCATGCCACGACGATCGCGGAGGAGTGTGGCTCTGACACGCATTTCGTTTCATACATCACATGGTCCACGGGCACATTCGGCTCTGGACTGTGCTCTGTTGGGTTCGTCTAGAATCGAGACCTGCTCAAGCCTGAGCAAAGTGCCACAATGAACAAACATAGACCTTAAATCCTAAAGCCCGAGCATAAGCACTAGACTCTAAACCCCGAGCATGAACTAGAAAGCCTAAACCTCAAACATAACAACCCTAAACTCAACCCCAAACATAGCAACCCTAGCCGCAAGCCCCGAACATGAACTTCAAGCCCTACGCCCCAAACATACCAGCCCTAGACCTTTATCCCCCCAAGCCCTGAAGCCTAAACATGGCCCCTGCAGTCGGAAAAAGGCTTTGATGCAAAAATCAAAGAAGAAAAACATTAACTCTAAAACCCGGACCGGAAGCCCAAGTCGGATCTTGGCAGGTCATTGCTGCAGTGCCATGGAAGCGTTGGTTGATGCTAGGGTATAGGTGGTGGGGCCTGCCCTTCTTCCAAGGCTTCCAGGAGAAGAAAGGTGCCAATTTCTTGCATGGTTACGTTCAAGCGGGGTTTGATGGCGCCAGATAGCTTAGCTTTTTCAGCAGAGTTTTCCTGCATACACCAATCTTAAGCCCCCTACGCCCTACGCCCGATGCCCTGAACCAGGCACCCTAAACCCGGAACAAATCCTCAGGTGGACCTGATTGCTGACCCTGCCTTCTTCGCGGGAGAGGGCTTCGATATCACCATCGCAGATGAAACTGTTAGCCAGGCGGGAAGCCCAACGCCCCTTGAAGCCCCAATCCCTCGAGACCGATTGGAAAAAAGTCAACGCCCTCAAGCCCAAAACTATGAAGCTTCGTCGAAACGGCTTGAAAACGACACCCCAGCTATGAGACTCGTGGGATGGTGGTTTGGGCATGCGGCAGGGGTTTGTACATGTTGATCCCAACCCTGGACCGTAGAAAGACCATCGGAGCATTCCTGCACCTTGAACCCAACTCAAAACAGACCTGATTCAGGTAGTCTCCTGGATTGAGATGTCCGACTGGGGCAAGGCCGGAGTGAAGGCTTTTATGGAAGATTTCACCGAAGCGGGAAGACTCCCGTGTTTTGGAACGGCTTGCATGTTTCGCCGAATGAAGCAAGAGTTGAAGGGAGCCAGGATGCATCCGAGCTCGAAGTTTGGCGCTGGTGTGAAGCTGTTGCCCTTGCAGTGCTTTAGGGCCAGTGTGACTTGTTCGCGACTTCCATCGCTCATGAATGCGATTACAGTTCGCGCTAGCCTTGGGCAATCGGGCACAGAGTTTTATCTGTCGCATCGTCAAGCCTGCTCGAAAGTACGAATTTGCTTCTACCCTTCTTATTGCCATTTCTTGATTTTGTTCTTTTGACCGTCACTTGTCGTTTTTTAAACTCCGAAGCTCAGCGGAGGCAGCGCTACTGAAGCTGGCGAAGGTGAAGCCCAGCAACGGCCAGACTTTTGCAGAGGCCTACGACGAGGAGGCAGAGCTGAGAAATACAAAAAATGAGAGTAACGCTAAATCAAGAAAAGTATATATCAAACCCATTCCAACCTAATCCAGTCTACCGGTTAAGGCGTCCGGGATTTTCCTCAGGTCCCAACGACCGTAACCAATTGCAGAAGGGCGTTCGCATACGGCAAACGTCACGGTTGAGAGCCCAAAACCTGAGTCCTGCACGCCAGGGCCAAGCCCGGATCCTGAGCCCAAGCCGTCGGCCGTGAGGTGAAAGCACGGGAAGTGAAGTACTCGACAGCAAATGGCCTTAGCTCTCCGGAAGCCAGCGGCCCCTAGGCCGCACGGAGCAGCATCCCAAACGCATGCGAGAGCCGCAGCATTACATGATTTCACATCTTTTATTGACATCGGCGTCATGACATAGATCATTGGGTCTAGGTTTGTTACACGGCCCGCCGATCCGTTGGTGCGACTTGTTGTCTGGCTGCTTGCGCAACTGGCATAGTTAAGCCATCATTTGATTATGGGGAAAGGCGTTCCAGATTGGTCATTTCTGATTCTGTTTGTGCTACTGACAGTCAAGAGCAAAGGCAGCAATCGGGTTGGGTTTTGGCGTGTGCGTGTGCGGAGCATGGCAGACGTCTTCCAGCGGTGCAGTCAAGGCTATCACACCCAAGCCGCGGCAACGCTGAGGCTTGGGATCCTTCCGTCATTGTCTGCAGTGGTAGGTAGGTTTGGGATGCTTTGTGCTTGGATGTTGGGTAAAGTTTCAAGGCCTTGCGCAGGAAGGCTGTGGGGCTCCAGCGTGCTTGTCTTGTGTGCCGTGAAACTCAGCTTGCAGCGGTTTGGTTCCAGGTTTCGGCCATCGGTACAGCTTTACAGCAGCCGTCGCTTTGGCCCAGCTTCTGTTGTCCTGCTTAAGACTCTGCTCTTGACGTGAAAGAATCGCGAAGTCGTACTTGCATTCAACGAAGCTCAAAACATTCTGGGCTACCTTTGGCCATAGGTTCATAGATACCAACCTCGGCTGCCCTTCTTCCACTGCCACAGGGCCACAGGAACTGTCAGAAAGTCCCCATCCATGGCCAGGAACGTTCTCCTGGGTGGCCCGGCTGCCTCTTCCGGCTCCAACGACCCGGAGGCTGCCCAGGCGGGGCAGAAGAGGACGAGCAAGGAACCAGCAGCCACTGCGAAGAAGAGGCAGAAGTAGCAGCAGCGGTAGAAGCAGGTAGGAGCAGCGAGGAGCAGCGAGGAGGAGGAGGAGGAGGAGCAATTGTAAGAGGAGTAGTGGCAGTCGTCCTCGTAGGTGGTGGCGGACGAGGAGGATAGTATCAGCATCGTCAGCTTCGCAATGCCAACAGCAGTAGTGTTCAATGATGGTCATAATCGTTGCGGTCGTCATCATCATCCTCTCCAGTCAAGCAGTCCAGGCAGCTGGGACCTCGGATGGATTCAATGCTCACTTCTGCAGGATTAGGTTGACCCTAAACGTCCACAGCCGTGAATAGCATCCTCCTCCTCCAGGCGTCTGGAAGTGCGCAGCCCGCCAAGCCCCAGACCTTGAAGTTCGCAGCGGAGCTGAGTGTGAACGTGTCGCAGTCCGTTAAGGAGAGAGTGGTGGGCATCTGGGGCATGTCCCCTCTTCTCAGAAATGAAGGTCTTGCTCGGTTTCTAGGATGCACCGCCGTCCTTCACGCAAATCATGATGATCGCAGTGTTGTTGTTGGAGTCACCAGAATGATGACGATTTTGTCGTTGTTGCTCGTGCTACTTGGATGGTTATTGGTGCTGTCCTCCCCCTCCGCCTCCTCCTCCTCCTCTTCCTCCGCAGCAGCATTATCAGCATCAGCATCAGCATCAGCATCAGCATCAGCATCAGCATCAGCATCAGCATCAGCATCAGCATCAGCATCAGCATCAGCATCAGCATCAGCATCAGCATCAGCTGCAGCA